GGGAACTTAGCTATAGTCAGTGCATTAGCACTTCCCAAAGGTATTTCAATTCACTAGAGTGAGGAAGGCTGTTTTAGGTAGTGAAAACAGCAGTCTTTGGATGTATGCTGAGGTTTGGGTCCTGGGGATGCCCTGAGAAATAATTTTCTCCAGTTGAAAGTTACTAACATGGCAGAATTTGGGAACCAAATGCAATTTGGTTTGGGAAATAGTATGGATAAGGAAGTTAGAGGAAAGTAGAATCTTCCAGAAGTCAAATTGCATAGCTCAGGAAAAAGGTGTTCCAGAATTGGGAAGGAAACCTGGAAAGGACTCAATTAGAGCTTAGAAGACAAATCCCAGGGGCAAAGAGAGTCCAAATCTGGCAGAACTGATCCCATGAAGTCCCTTGCCTAGTGCAACCACCTCAGTGATTACTGTATTACATTACAGACTACACAAGAATTTCGCAGGGAGGAGGTATCCTAAGTGTGAGGGAACTGTACTAGATAAGTTATCTGAAAATGCAGGGACTAGTCTAGTATCTGAATTTTTTTCTCAGAAAGGACTATTTCCTCAGGGGTATTGCCCAAAGTGAGTCCCAAACTCATGCATATTTTTAGAATGCCATCTTTTCTTTATCCTTCCTACCTTCTTGACCTGGACCCATTATAACTCAATGAACTAGTAATCCCATATTTCATACTTGATTTTACTAGTACTATTTTTATAATAAAACTAGAGGCCCGGTGCACGAAATTCATGTGGGGGGGGTGAGGGGTTCCCCTCAGCCCCACCTACACCCTCTTCAATCAGGGACCCCTCGGGCGATGTCCGACTGCCAGTTTAGGCCGATCCTGGGGATTGGGCCTAAACCAGCAAACATCCCTCTCACAATCCAGGACTGCTGGCTCCTAACTGCTCACCTGCCTGCCTGCCTGATTGCCCCTAACTGACCCCCTGCCAGCCTGATCACCCCTAACTGCCTCTGCCTGACCTGATTGCCCCAACTGCCCTCCCTGCCAACCTGGTCACCCCCAACTGCATCCTCCCCACTGGCCTGGTTGCGCCTAACTGCCCCCTCTCCCCTGCCAGCATGGTCGCCCCTTACTGCCCCCCCTGCCGGCCTGGTTGCACTCAACAGCCACTCTCTGCTGACCTGGTTGCCTCTAACCTCCCTCCCTGCCAGCCTGGTTGCCCCCAACTACCCCCACCCCCCGTCGGCCTGGTTGCCCCTCACTGCCCCCCACCGGCTTGGATGCCCCACACAGCCTGCTGCTCAGTTGTTTGGTCATTCCTCACTAACCCCCCTGCTGACCTTGTTGCCTCACTCAGCCTGTTCGGTCATTTCGGATGTGACAGCCCCTGGCTCTTTATATATATAGATGTTACCAATACCTATACTTCCTATAATACAAACTTACCTTTAGTGAGTTTTACGGAAATGAGATAAAATGACATCTCTAAAGAGCATCATCCACCTAACCTGAATATTAATTTCCAAGGTATTTGGATTAACATTGGTTCTCCTTCCCTAATGTGGACAGACATGTAAAAGAAATTTCAGTGAAGTGACTTTGAATCCTGAATACTCAAGTCTATTGTCCATTTTTATTTCAAAATAACTGGGAGTGGTTTTTGTTTTGTGGGAGTGGGAGATAGGGAAGGAGCCTGAAACAGAGAATAAAGTGGGGGCCAAATAGGGACATGGCCAAGGTGAGACATTTGTACAGTTGACTCTGAGGCCTTTGTAGAAACCACATGACAGGAAGGTTTGGGCATTTACCTTCCACCAGCTAAATTCCAGTCTTGCACTGGATTCATCTGATGGAAACCTAGAGAAGCTGACACATGACTTGGTTTTCTCCAGTAGGGTACTCTTGGGAGAAACATCTCATGCTGTTGACTTAGCGTGGCTCTGGAGGCAAAAGCAGCAAGAGACCAAGGGTTGTTTTTCTCTTGTATAAATAAACCCAACTACTTGAAAATGGAGTACAAAAAGAACACAAGTGGCTGAAAATGGTCTCTCCTAAATCAGCTTAGGGTCACACCAACAGAAAAGTATCTCATATTTGCTGACCCCTGCTCCCAAACTAGGCTAGGTACTTATCCTTTGTTTTCTCAGCTCCCAGCCTAGAACTTTATCACTGTACTTACTCCAATAAGATCAGTGGTTGAGCTTCAACCTGTGTACCAGGAGGTCAGTTAGATTCCCAGTCAGGGCACATGTGGGCTCAGTAAAGGGCATGCAGGAGGCAGTCAATCAATGATTCTCTCTCATCATTAATATTTCTTCTCATCATTGATGTTTCTATATCTTTCTCCCTCTCCCTTCCTCGCTGAAATCAATTAAAACACATATATATGTGTATATATATATATATATATATATATATATATATATATATATATTAAAGATTATGTTTCAGTATCTCACTAGAGAACTTAACCTCTTTCTGCCTTTGGTGGTCTGCTGCTGAAACCTATGGATCAATTCTCGTAATAATGCTTTTCAATGCATGAAATAAAATACATAGGATTACAAAGGAAATAATTATATTGAAGTATAATTCCAGAAAATCTCTGGAGTATGAATTCCTTGAGTGTACAGACTGACTGTGTTTCCACCTCTGTACTGCCAGTGCCTAGCACAAAGCCTGGCACATAAATCATACTTATAAATGTTTATTGAATGAATGAACAGAAAGATAGATGGCTACTGCAAAGTCAACCTGAGGAATGATTCATTGAAAATGCCTGTGCACAGACCAATGGCTTGCATATGTCTCACCCCATATGAGATCATCTATACCAGGGCTGCGAGGGAACTCCCACTCAACAACGGGTGCTATAGCATCTAGCAATAATGACAGGCTATTGGAAGACCAGAAAACAACAAAGCTCATGTATTTCCACTAGCTGGAATATACAGAAAGTAAAAGTAAACAGGCTCTGTTAGCAGGAAATCTCTTGACTTTGGAAGCATAATGTTCACACTACTTTAAAACACTATCAACAGCTCTGATGGAGGGAAGAAAGGAACCTGAACTAGTGTATAGGTGTTCTCCAGGGCTGCTCCTCTGTTCTGAAATGGGACTCCTGTCTCTGGGAAAGAGAAAAATGTCCCTAAAAACCACAATAGGGATGATATGCCTTTCTAGGTTTAAGTAGCAGTTTTACTCTTAGACAGAAATACTGGTTTTGTTTATGTACTAACAGGAAACCTAAAGAAGCAAGAAAAAAAAGCCACTTTCCTCACTAAAGATATATAAAGGGCCAAAGGTTTGTTCTAAGCTGACTGCTACATCTATTAAATATTTTGAAAAGAAAAATACAACCCCAGACAATTTTAAAGTTGAAAACTACAACTGTATGGGGTTCAGAAATCTCACCCTTAAGGCTTTTATGACTGACCCTCCTAAGTTAAAGGGCTTCTCCAGCTATATACATCCTTCTGAGGGGTAGCAGAACTGTTTCCACTTGCTTGACAACAGGGTTTCCAACATCTGCTGGAAGAAACATGGCTTCAAGTGGGTGCCTTCTTAAAAAAAAAAAAGTAACTATAGGTCTAAGTTTTAATTAAAAACAAAAACCCTCCCACTCCTTAGGTGTGTGCTTTTTTGACCTATTTTTCCTTTATACTGTCTGCAGTTTCCCTATATTTTTCCTAATGCAGTAAACAATGCAACCAAAAGAAATAAAAACCAGGGTCCACTCTTACCCCAAACACTGAAGATGGCCAAAGAGAAGTAATCAAAGCACAGAAAATGGCCCAGCTCTAAATATACAAAAAACATTAAAAAAAGAAAGAAAACAAGACACACACCCCCCAAAGACATTATTATTGACATTTCTGGTACATTTCCTATAACATAATGTTGCAGACAATGCTTCTTTCCCAGGGAGTCCAGCTTGCTCAGGAGGAGACATCCACTCGGTGCCTCAGGATAGGCTAGGGGTGTTGAGTCTTCCTGCCAAGCCTAAGGCTTTTTTTATGAGCTCAGTCTCACAGAAAGATCTGTGGTATAAATGACTCTAAAAGGGGATGAAGGCAGGCACCTGTCACTGTTCTCCAAATCAGCTAAAAAGCTGAAGAGCATGGGATCCAGGAGACAGATGCCATTAACAGTTAAGGGATAGAGGGTAGAACAAGAGGAAGCACCAAATGAGTGGCTGCTTTTGGTTCCAAAGCCAAAAGAGGGCCCCACCAAAAAGGGCAGCTGGTCTGGATGAAGAATTCCTCTGCTCCTGGAGTCATGCAATAAAATGATGGGCTTGGAGCCTCACCCCACAACAGCCACAGTCCAAGAACCAGAGCAATTTACACCATATCACACAGTTCACAGAGTAATGGACTGATCCTAGTTTAGAAAGGTAAGTGCTTTGACAAAGTTGGGGGCAAGGTGGGCTTGAGTCCCAAAGCACAGCTGTGACATCCCTGGATTTCTATTTCTCCTGATGCTACTTGCTCCATGCCAATGTACCTTCCACTTACCACTGGCCTCTCCTCAAAATGGCACCTATAGTGGTAACCCTCAGAGGTACCAAGAGGCATCAGTTGCACTTCTGGAAATAAGGTAATTTCTTTGCCCCATCCTGGCAAAGCACTTCCCTTTTTAAACTGCTGCTCCAAGCAACAGAGTTCCCCCTCCAAGCAGAGTTCAACTTCCTTTCAGAGTTTTGCACTGGCCTCGAAGGGCCCATTCCAGGATACAAAATAAATTTCCTTCTGTATCCATGTGTGAGTGGGTTGCCTTCCAGTATCAGGTCTGTGTTCTACAGTTTGGTCAATGCATCTTTAAGAAAATAAAACCACATGCGTACACAGATAGATTAGCCTGGAAAGGGCTTTTGGAATAGGTTTCTGGTTATCTTGATGCCTCCCCTAAAAGAAATAACTTTCTTGGTGTAAGAGGATGAGGACATTGAGTGACCTACTCTCAACTTCTGGAAGGACAGCTTGTTTTGTCCATTTTTTCAATGAGGGGGTGGGAGGGACCCAACATATTCAGTTACATCAATGAGATTTGTTTTTCTTTTAAAAAAAAAAAGGATCCTACATGGAAATGAGTGGGACAATGATAAAAGTAAACAAATATTTAAAATTTCAAACCAAAACATATTTCCTGGCCCCAATATCCCCAGTTAATCCTCTAAGACCACAATCTCCACATTGTGGACTTGATGCTGATGTTCTTCCATCTCAGCCACAACTTTCTCCTCAGTCCTAAGCTCTGTCTCCAGAATGACTGCTTTGCCCTCAGTATCCTCAGCCTCTGGGTCTGGGGCTGGGTCAATCTCAATGATGGTCTGCCCATCCTCTGAGGTGCTTTCAACAGCCTGGATTGCTGAGGTCAGGCCAGACTCCATGGCCACCAACTCCACAGGGCTCACCATAGTGGTCATGTTGCCCAGGGTATTCCCATCCTGCATGGCAGTAGAGCTTAGCAGCGCCAAGCTAGATGAAGGGTGGATGGTCACTGTGTCTGGTGAGCTGCTCTTGGCAGAGGAGACGACTGTGGCATAGCGGAAGAGCTGAGGGCCAGAAGGCAGTGTGTGGACAGTCACAGGACTGGAGCCCTGGCTGAGGGTGGCCACTGGAAGATTGCCCATGGAAAATGACTGACCCACTGGGGTGATCGTGATGGGTGAGATGACTGTGAACTGAGGCTGCTGGACAGGAGGAGATGAGCTCAGGACGGTGGTGGAGGCTGGCCGCTGGAGTCGAGGCCTTTTTGGAGGCTTAGGAGTGCTCACAGGCATCAATACCACATTTTGAACTGTCTGGGATTTCAGCCTCTGATCCTGAGCTTGTTTCTTCTGCTCTTCCAACTGGCGTTCCAAGTCTATGGAAAAAAGATAGACTTTGTATGGATGGAAGTATAATCTTGGGAACAGTAAAATGGGGTGAGGGGACCTGGGGTTTTGCCACTCTGTAGCCTCAAGAAAGTCACTTCATTGTTTTTATTATTTTTAATTATTATTATTTTTTGCTTCATTGTTTTTAAGAAGAAACTAAACTGGATGATTTGTTAATCTCTTCAGTAACAACATTTCCTTGTATGATTATAGGCAGGGCAATAATCCAGGATCTTTTCAAGCTGTAATCCTACTATAGCTCAACTCTAGAAGCTCCTGTGGCATTTTGTCGCCTGTCAGCAAAATGCAAACCAAAGCAACCTCCGGTTGGTCTAGTAGCTAAGATATGCCCTGCCTCAAACTACAGATGAAGATAAGAAATATCTTTATAATCCCTTTGGAACTGCAATGGATCTACAATGGCCACTCTAGAACACAGTGATTCCCAAACTGTGCTTCAAGGCAGGATCACCTGGTGATCCAAATGGCCTTAGTCTACTATTAGCCCCCAGAGAAGTCTGGAGAAAGTTACAGAGGAAGTTTCTAAGAAATACAGAACTGAGGAGGTCTTAAAGTTTCAAAGTGACTGACTTAAGGTCACAGAGCCCGGGACAAAAGTCTCTGATGGCCAACTTGGTGGCTTTTCCATCACAATATACCTATCACTACCTTTCTCCAGGTGTCCAATTCAACCTTGTGACCACTGGTGAATCTGGTTCTACACCAGAACGTCTCTATTACTTAGTACCTGATAAACAAGCAATAAATAATCAGTTACACCTTTACAGCACTTTGTTTCCTATGGAACACCAAGAGCTAGTTAATTACTTGCTAGGAATAAAAGGAGTAGGTAGGGATCAAGAACATGTTCACAGATTTTAAAATACGGCTTTTTAAAGTTACGATATACTGCATTTTTTCCATTTTCAGTAGTAATCAAAAAAATGTGAACCTAAACAAGATAAAAATAAAATCTGTAATTTTTAAAAAGCTAAATCAGGGATTACTATAATAACAATGTCCAATGTTGATGAGTTCAAACTGCTGGCATAAATTGGCATAATCTTCTTGGAAATTTGACAATAATTCACAGAAATCCATAAAAAAAATATCAATACTATAACCTCAAGCTTAATCCTGGGAAGTAGTTGAAAAAAAAACCTCAAAAATAGAAGTTATAGGCCTGGCCGGTGTGGTTCAGTGGTTGAGCACCGACCTATGAACCAGGAGGTCCCAGTTCAATTCCTGGTCGGGGCACATGTCCAGGTTGTGGGCTCTTTCCCCAGTAGGGGTGTGCAGGAGGCAGCCAATCAATGATTCTCTCTCATCATTGATGTTTCTATCTTTTCCTCTTCTGTCCTCTCTGAAATCCATAAACATATATTTTAAAAATATATATCTCTATCTCTATCTATCTATCTACATAAACTGGGTATAAAAATAACTTTAGAGCAACCTAAATTGTTCTTCTCTTATCAAATGACCTTTCAAGAGTCTTTGGGCTTTATAATTGACTATAATTTGTTCTACATCATTCAAAGGCTGATGATCCTCCTTGACTTATTTTATATCCTTCACCTGCTTTACCTCCTTCAAAAGCCTCTCTTGATTCCTTCCAGGTATAAGTGATAACTCCCTTTGTTCTTCCATCATACCTGCTATAAGCCACTGTCATAAAACAGATTACTTTTTGCACTTATTTTTATGTCTGCTTTCCCTCGAGTTCCTTGAAGGCCCTCAATATTCAACATTATATTTCTAAAACCTAGTTTGAAGACCAGCACAAGATAAGTACTTAATAAAAAGAGTTAAAATATCCATGTGCTCATCATTTATTACCACAAATAATGGAAAATAGGCTAAATGTGTATCTGTCAAAAGATTCAGTAATAATAATGTAAAAAAGACAAAAGCCAGTTTCTTCTGCCACCAATATTACTGGATTGATGGAGCATTCTTGCAGACATCCTAATTCTCCAAAAGATATAGAAGGAGTACTGTGATGCTGGCTTCTTTCTCTTTTCCTTTGTGCCTTCTCTGCTTCCCACTACTTCACCCCACCTGGGTCTATATATAAAGCAAAAGTCAAACATGATACTATGTGAGTTAAAAGAAATAAAAAGAAAGAGGGAGTTGGGGGTGGGGGTAGGAAAAAGAAGCAAAGAAAGGCCTGGCCACTGTGGCTCAGTGGTTGAGCATTGACCTTTGAACCAGAAAGTCACAGTTCAATTCCTGATTAGGGCGCATGCCCAGGTTTTAGGCTCAATCCCCAGTAGGGGGTGTACAGGAAGAGTTGATCAATGATTTTCATCATTGATGTTTCTATCTCTCTCTCCTTCTCCCTTCTTCTCTCAAAATCAATAAAAATATTAAAAAGAAGCAAAGAAAATACATATTTTTTTTAAAAAGAAGCAAAGAAAGAACCACGCCAGTCCCAACAAATTTCAACAAAGAAATGTCAAGAGTTGCCTGGCAGGCGTGGCTCAGTGGTTGAGCGTCAACCTATGACGGTTTGATTCCCGGTCAGGGCACGTGCTCAGATTGCAGGCTCAATCCCCAGTGTGGGATGTGCAGAAGGCAGCCGATCAATGATACTGTCTCATCATTGATGTTTCTATCTCTCTCTCTTCTCCCTTCCTCTCTGAAATCAATAAAAAATATATTTTAAAAAAAGAAAACTGGCAAGACTCAAAAGATAGTAGTTTATCACCTAAGAAGAGAGATAAATTATACATACCTGTCAGAGTATAGAGAAACTGCTCTTCTCCTTGCTCTATTTGGTTCCTTCTGTTGTCCAAAACCTTCTTAACCGTGTCCATTAGGCCAAATGTGTGTGCCACATTGTTGAGAACAGCAGCATCTATTTAGAAGAAAAGACATGTCTGTCGACTTAAAACAGAAAGGTTTTCCACCAACTCCCTCTTGTGCTGTTTACAAATATGGAACAATCCGAAAATGACGGGACTATAGTCTAATAAACAATTTTAACAAAGATGTATCACATGTATAACTAATTTAGATTTGTTATATCTATATTAATATACTATTGACATATCTATAATATCTATATTAATATAAATAAGAGAGAATTGAGAGAACTACTTTTTGGCCCACTGATAATGGCAATTATCAGGTAATTACCTGTGGAAAAAGCATGGCTAGACCTGAGTTCAAAACCCAGCTAAAGCCCTGGCTGGGTTTTTCAGTGGTTAGAGTGTCAGCCCATGCACCAAAGGGTCTTGGGTTCTATTCCCGATCAAGGTCACTTATTTCAGTTGCAGGTTTCCCAGCCACAGGAGGGGCTATTGAAGGAGGCAACCAATCAATGAATCTCTCTCACGTTGATATTTCTCTCTCTCTCCCCCTCCTCCCTCCCTTCTATTCTCTCTAAAAATCAATGGGAAAAATACCTCGAGTGAGGATTTTTAAAAAAAAAAAAACAGTTATGACCCTGGCCAGTGTTCTCAGTGGTTAGAGCATTAGCCCATGCACCAAAGGGTTATGGGTTTGATTCCTAGTCGAGGACACATGCCTGAGTTGTGGGTTCGATACCTGGCCCTGGTTGGGCTGCATATGGGAGGCAATCAATCGATGTATTTCTCCACATCAGTGTTTCTCTCTCTCTCTCTCTCTCTCTCTCTCTCTCTTTCTCTCTCTCTCTCTCTCTCTCTCCCTCCCTCACTTCCCCCCTTCCACTCTCTCAAAAAAAAAAATCAATGGAAAAAATATCCTCAGGTGAGGATTAACACACACACACACACACACACAGTTATGATCTTTAGAGAAGTAACTTCTATGAGCCTTAGTTACCTAGTGTGTAAAATTGGGATACCTATACATCAGTGTTTTCATGAGGCCAACAGGATAACTAGATATTGTTAGAATTAACACACTTACCTGTGACCTGGAAGGGCGCTTGAATGAGCCGCTGCTGAACCCCCCTGAGTAGCTCCTCTATTTCCTTCTGAATGTTGCATACAACCTCTTCCATCAGCCCTACATCAGCTATTCCTTTCCAGAACATCAAAGTGTCCTCTGGTACAAGAGGAATAAGAAAGATGGTAAACAAGGGATGCTATATATACTTAGGCACATTTCTACAGTGTGTTAAATTCAAAATATTTCAATTCAAAAGGATTCCTTTTTGGGCCACTTCTGGGAAAAGGGAAAAATCTTTTGGAGTATTAGCTGCCTCCCTAAGTTGGTAACTAATTATTTGGCCTCTTTAGCAAACTAGGGACTTGGGATAATTGCCTCATTTTGTCATGCCCTCAATTTGTCATTGCTCTGGCTACAAGGAATAGGTATGTTCCTCTAATAAATATAACATATTAAATATTATTTATTTAAATAATTTAATTTAAAATTAAATATTTAAAAATTTAAAGTTAAATAATAAAGATATTAAAGGTATACTAAAATAAAGGTATATTCGCTCTAATCATATACTTCAAAAAACAAAGTAAAACAATTGAATAGGTGGTATTATAAACTCCCTGAAGTCAAAGGCTATGTCTTTTCATTCACCTGTCTAGCATCTAGCAACAGTACTAACTAAAAATAAGCAGCTCCCTAACTGGTTTGGCTCAGTGGATAGAGCGTCCGCCTGCGGACTGAAGGGTCCCAGGTTCGATTCCGGTCAAGGGCATGTACCTGAGTTGCGGGCACATCTCCAGTAGGGGGTGTGTAGGAGGCAGCTGATCGATGTTTCTCTCTCATTGATGTTTCTGACTCTCTATCCCTCTCCCTTTCTCTCTGCAAAAAATCAATAAAATATATTTAATAAATAAATAAAGCAGCAAGCCCTAGCTGGTTTGGCTCAGTGGATAGTGCATCAGCCTGCGGACTGGAGGGTCCCAGGTTCAATTCCAGTCAAGAGCACATGCACGGGTTGCAGGTTCGGTCCTCAGTAGGGGGCATGCAGGAGGCAGCCCATCAATGATTCTCTCTCATCATTGATGTTTCTATCTCTATCTCCCTCTCCCTTCCTCTCTGAAATCAATAAAAATATTTATAAATAAATAAAAGTAAACAGCAATAAATATTTGTTAAATGAATAAATAAATGGAGGAGGATGTGAAGCCTCTCCTGATCCCCTCTAAGTGAATCATTATTAATCACCATCTTCTAAACCATCTGCTACCTAATTTTTTCTTCTAACATCTTGCAGCTTGGTTTATCCAAGAAGTATACCAAAGTTGGAAGTAGTTTGACAGGATGAAAAGCATGGACTACAGTCAAACTCAGCTGAACTCAGCTCTGATACTTATTGGTTGTGTTACTGATATTAGGCAAGTTGCTGAACCTTTCTGAATCTCAATTTCTTCATGTGTAAAATGTGACTGCGGGATGTTGCATTGATTAAAGTAAGAGGTTTGCAGCTATAATTAATATTAATATGCATGAGACAAACCAGCAAAAGTAATTAAAAGGACTTCTGTGTCCATAATTATAATGGTGATAAGGTCACAAAACTGTAAAATATCTGAGCCCATAGAAAATTACCTGAAATTTCCTCTGAGTCTTTCTTCACTCCCTCTTCTGTGGCCATGGTGACAGCAGCAGTGAGGGCCGAGTTCCATTCTAACCCTGCTTCTTCCATGCTCTCTTCTGAGATGGCAATCTGTGTGATGTTACCTAAAAACAGTCCATTAGCGATAAGCTCAGTAAATTTTATGAAAAAGTCATAACTATCTTCCATCTCATACTCAAAGCCCTGTTATTTTAATATTTAGCTTTTTGCCTTCAGATCCCTATATTAAAAACTAGAATCCTAGAAAAAAGAAAAAAACAAACAAACCTAGAACCCTAGGAAAACCAAGAAAAATACTGGATTTTCTAAAGAAAATCTGCCTTGCAAAGAAAATGTTTTCTTCCTACTCTGAATAGAAAGTGAAAGGTAACAACCCTAACCAGTTTGGCTCAGTGGATAGAATGTTGGCGGACTGAAGGGTCCCAGGTTTGATTACGGTCAAGGGGACATACCCAGGTTTCGGACTCAATCCCCAGTAGGGGGCATGCAGGAGGCAGCGAATCAATGATCCCCTCTCATCATTGATATTTCTATCTCTCTCTTCCTCTCCCTTCCTCTCTGAAATAAAAATATGTTTTAAAAAAGACAAGTGTGGACTCTACATGCTAGAAGATATCAATAATCAAGCAAAGAGCCCTGGCCACGTGGCTCAGTCAGTTGGAGTGTCATCCCATATACCAAAAGTTGCAAATCCAGGGCACATACCTAAGTTTTGTTTTCAATTCCTGGTCAGCACCTATGGGAAGCAACCAACCATTCAATGTTTCTCTATCACGTTGATGTTTCTCTCTCTCCCCCTTTCCCTCTCTAAAATCAATAAAAACAAATGCTCCAGTGAGAATCCTATATAATAAAAGGGTAAATAGCAAACTGACCCTAACAGCAGAAAGACTGGGAATGGTCACTATGACACACACTGACCACCAGGGGGCAGACGCTCAATGCAAGAGCTGCCCCCTGGTGGTCAGTGTGCTCCCACAGGGGGAGCTCTGCCCAGCCACAAGCCAGGCTGACGGCTGCCAGTACAGCGGTGGTGGTGGGAGCCTCTCCCGCCTCCTCAGCAGCACTAAGGATGTCCAACTGCAGCTAGGCCTGCTCCCCACTGGCAAGTGGACATCCCCCAAGGGCTCCCGGGCTGCCAGAGGGATGTCTGACTGCCAGCTTAGGCCCAATCCCCCCGGCAAGCGGGCCTAAGCCAGCAGGTGGTCATCCCTTGAGGGGTCCCAGGCTGTGAGAGGGCACAGGCCGGGCTGAGGGACCCTCCCGAGTGCACAAATTTTTGTGCACCGGGCCTCTAGTCCTATATAATAAACTAGAGGCCTGGTGCACAAAATTCGTGCACAGAGGGGGGGGGATTGTCCCTCAGTCCAGCCTGTACCCTCTCTAATCTGGGACCCCTTGGGGGATGTCTGACTGCCGGTTTAGGACCGATCCCACCCTAAAATGGCAATCAGACATCCTTCTCACAATACGGGACTGCTGGCTACTAACCGCTCACCTGCCTGCCAGCCTGATCACACCCTAACTGCTCCCCTGCCGGCCTGACTGACGCCTAACTGCTCCCCTGCTGGCCTGATCGCCCCAACTGCCCTTCCCCTTCCAGCCAAATTGCCTCTAACTGCCCTCCCCTGCTGGCCTGATCTCGCCCCCAACTGCCCTCCCCTGCAGGCCTGGTCACCCCCAACTATCCTCCCCTGCCAGCCAGATCGCCCCCAACTGCCCTCCCCTGCCGGCCAGATCACCCTCAACTGCCCTCAACAGCAGAAAGACTGGGAATGGTCACTATGACACACACTGACTAGCAGGGGGCAGACGCTCAATGCAGGAGCTGCCCCCTGGTGGTCAGTGTACCCCCAGCTGGCCTGATCGCCCACAACTGCCCTCCCCTGCCGGCCATCTTGTGGTGACCATCTTGTGACAGCCATCTTGTGTTGGCCATCTTGTGACTATGTGAGGGCAGCCATCTTGTGGCAACCATCTTGTGACAATGTCACACAAGGGTGTTGCATGATGCCACCTAGGCTTTTATTATAGAGGATGCCTAATATGCTAAGTGTCTGGTCATCCATTCAACCAATCAAAGTGTAATATGCTAATGATGTGCTAAGGCCACTCAACGGCTTGCTATGACATGCACTGACTACCAGGGGGCAGATAGTCAACCAGTCGACCAGTTGCTATGATGTGCACTGACCACCAAGGGGCAGTCAACCATTCGACCAGTTGCTATGATGTGCACCTACCACCAGGGGGCAGACAGTCAACCAGTCGCTATGATGTGCACTGACCACCAAGGGGCAGACACTCCAACCGGTAGGTTAGCTTGCTGCTGGGATCCGGCCGATCGAGACTGAGTGAGATGGGCCAGACATGCCCTGGAGCCCTCCCGTAGTCTCTCCCCAGCTGGCAAACCTCCTGTGTCCCTCCCTAGCCCTGATCAGCCCTAATTGTGCACCAGTGGGGTCCCTCGGCCTGGCCTGCGCCCTCTCACAATCCAGGACCCCCTCAAGGGATGTCGAAGAGCCAGTTTCAGCCTGATCCCGCAGGCCAGGCTGAGGGACCCCACTGATGCACGAATTCGTGCACCAGGACTCTAGTTAAAAAATAATAATAATAAGCAAAGAAGTAATATCAATATGGACAATAAATTAAGGAGCTTTGGACAAATAAAAAGGAAGTATATAATTTCACAGCATTTTTCACTTTTCAAGTGAAAGAGTCACATGAACAAAAATTCAAACTGCTAGATATTTTATACTTTCCTGAAAAGAACTTAGGTTCCAAGAGATTTGGCTTCTACTCACCCAGTCAATACAGAATATTAGGTCTGATCAAAAGAAACCTAAAGAGGCATTTTTAAAGCACAGTACTTCCCTTATATCCTTTAGTTCTTGTGACTCTGTCAGATATATTTATAAGTCTTCTGGAAGTAGTTGACACATATTCTATGTAGTAATCTTGACTGTGCTAATCTCCAGCTGGACTAACTGAATCCATAATAATAACCTCACATGGCTGCATCTGTCCTAGAGATGGGCAGGGAGCCCTAGTCCCAAACTCAATATTAAGGAAGTGTGTCCCCCATCCTGTCTCAATTGTGAGGAAGCCTCAGCTTGGTTATCCAGAACCCTTCCAGGCAGAGCTCTTTGATCCTTTTAGCAGAGTCTCCAGAGTCCATCCCAGCCAAGGATAAATTGTCTTTGATACATCTCAGTTCAACAACTGAAAACCATTCACTATTCTAATCCACCTTCCTGCTTTAACCACTAATAGAGCACAGAATTTTAAAAACAGTCTAAATTCAAAGATATGCCAAATGGTACCCAAGTGAAATGAGATTACTGAAAAAGTATTAGAACTATTGAACCATCTTTCTAATGTTTACCATGCATTGCAAAAAAGAAACAAAGAAGGAGGTCTGGCCAATAGGAATCATTTGGGAGGGGAAAAAAATTTGTTTCTAAAGCATGGAATCCCATCCAAGATTACCATGACTTTTAAGGACATCAACACTCATGAGATTTGAAATTAAGAAACCCAAAGAACATTGGGGGTAAACACATAATACAATATACAGATCATGTATTATAGAACTACTAGAGGCCCCTCAGCCTGGCCTGCGGAGATCAGCTGAAACCAGCAGTACTACATCCCCCGAGGGATGTAGTAGTGCACGAAGCGGCAGGCGGCCGGGGAGTACCCCAACCTGGGGCCAGATGCTGCACCACTCCTGCTCATCCTGGCCTAGCTATGCCTGCCTCCACAGTCCCAGTCTGGATGAGGGAGGGGCGCACAGGGAGAGTGTCCACGAGAGAGGCTTGCACCCCTGCAGCTGTGCTCGCCAGCCAGCCATGAGCCTGGCATCTGGCACCTGTTGGTCAGCTAAGCGGCACTCCTGCTGTGGGAGCTCACTGACCATCAGGGGGCAGCTCCTGAGTTGAGTGTCTGCCCCCTGGTGGTCAGTGCGCATCATAGCTACCGGCCAGTCATCCAGTCACTTAGGCTTTTATATATATAGATAACATCTAAAATCTATATAATTTCACTAACCAATGTCACCCCAATAAATTCAATAAAAATTAAGAAAAAGGAAACACAAAAGAGAAATGAGGGGGAAATGCTACTGAAAAACACAATGTGCTTTCAGGTGGTTTCCTACCCCCTACCATCGACCGAAGTGGGTGTCTGCACCACACTTGTCTGCTGTCCTGGCACTGGAGCTCTTGCACTGCTGATCAGAAGATCAAATTTGGTACTTCTGCAGGTATTGGAGCAAACCTTGTCATGTTGGTAAAAATCAATCTGTCCGGAGTCCATCATTTTCCTGCACAAAAGGAGACAAGAAGTACCACTTCAGCCTGCACTTTGGAAACTAGTGAGTCTCCTCTATAAGTTAGTGAAACCTAATAGTATTAAAAGTCATTAGGTTGCAAAGATTCTAATTAGGACTATAAAATTTTCATTGGTCCTGCCCACATTTACAAGTACTCCTCTTCCCTCCCTAGTCTACTCATGAGTACTTTTTCTTTTATATTCCACTATCACTAAGGTTTAGATATACACTCCTGACAATAGCTAAGTTTCCCCACAGGATCTCAATGAAACAAAACCCAAAGGGGAAAAAGGACTACCTCATATCCAAGCACAATTAAGGAATGCCACAATGGAATTAGAATTTTGTGATGAGATTCTGATGTGTTAGTACTCCTAGACCAGCAAGATCTGTTGTCTCTTTTGGAGACATAAAACTTCAGCATATTTCTTTCCTTAAAAAAAAAAAAATTGATAACAACTCTCCTATAAATACAAAACAAAGCTGATTATACTAAACCCCCACTATAAAATATCCTTAGAACTGAATTCACAAGACATTATGATAGTCCCTGAGTAAAACCATGCAGTATTTTCATTACGGTAAGTATGTTATATTGCTACTTGTCTTTCACTAAAGATTTTTAAGGCATTCTTGTTCCCTTTTACATTTGGGGAAAGTTGACATATGCTTGTTTTTCTGGGCAAATAAAATGGACCAAGAACTACAAAAATGAAAGTTAAAGGTATTTCTATCTCCCCAATTTCATTTAACTACTGATTTCTGCATATAAATCATCTGTAATGATTTTTTCTTTGTTTCTGACTAAAAAAAATAGTATGTGAAGAAAAAAAATTAACATTTTTTTGTGAAAAATATAAAGAAAACAATTACACTTTTTAAAAAATATCCCACAACACAGAGATCACATCAACATTTTGGTATATTTTCTTCTACTAAATTTTACATATGTAGTAGTTAGAGTGTCATGTGTATGTGTTTTAACACAATTAAAATCACACTGTTTAAAAAAAATCACAGTTTAAGTGATTTTATATTTTGTCTTCATTCTTACACATAAGCATTTTTATGTAAAAACTCTTTAGAAAAAAAAAAACTCTTTTAGAAATATTTTAATGACTACATTGTATCCCACAATATATACTCATATATATTTAGATGAGCCATAATTTACTTTACATATACCTATATTAAAGCAGACTAATTTTCTTAATAAATAATGTTGTAATGAACATATTTATGCTTGAATCTCTATAAGCCCTGTGGATTTTTCTTAAGACAGAGTCTTTAAAAAGAATTAAAGACAAAGGGTAAGGTGTTGAAACATGAGGCTTGAAACATGTTCTGTGTGGAACTTTTAATTTTTAACCACATTTTTAAATTTTCTACCAAGAGGTGAGTACTCAAAGAATGAGCACTAATGTTAATCAACTAATGTTAATTTTCAGAGGGAAAAAAATTACAATAGGAAACTTGCTGCATAAAAGGGGGCATTGGAAGTAATAAGCATTCTGAATTTTATTTCTGTGGTACAGTGATGGCACAGATTGCATTCACTGTGCATCATTGGTACTTATTAATAGCACCCCTCTACTTTTACCAATTATCCCAGGATGTGCCGGTCAGACTAAACTTTTCAGTGGTTGTCACGCTTCCTCAGCACCAGGCTTAGCCTGCCTATGCTTGGTGATCTCAAGTCAGTTGAAAGGTAAGTTCTTAACTATTAGAGCTCACCTGAGCATGATTCCCCCCAGACGAATAGCTCTCTTCCAGTCTTTTAGGGTGGACTTGCCAGCCAGATGAACAAAATGTTTGGGGCTGATCAACTGATCATTGAACTAAAGTAAAAAGAAAAGTCCAAAATAATCCAATGTCAACTTAGGCAGGTCAGAGGAAAACTAAGAGACGATTCTACTTGTTATGTACAAAAAATACCCGATGACATCTTAAGTCATAAACTTGTATTATTTAGCCTTCTGCCCTATTGTACCAGAGAAGATGTCCTTCTCTGAGCACAGTGCCCTATCCTGGTACAAAGCTACAGATGACTTTGGGAGCATCAGAGATTAATATACTAATTAGTGTTTAAAATCAATTTATAGCCTTGGCTGGTGTTGTTCAGTGGTGAGAGCCTCGACTCATGTACGAAATGGTCCTGGGTTCAATTCCTGGTCAAGGGCACATAGATTGTGGGTTCACTCCCCAGCCCGGATCTGGGTACCTGCAGGAGGCAACCAGTCGATGTGTCTCTCACATGGATGTTTGTTTCTCTCTCTCTCTCTCTCTCCCCCTCCTTCCCTCCCCCCGCACCTCCCCCTGCCCCCAGCTCCTTCCGTCCCTTCCACTCTCTCTGGAAAAAGCAATGGGAAAAAAAAAACCTCAGTAAAGATTAACAAAACAAAACAAAATCCATTTATGCCATGAATCAGTAGTTGGATCCAATGTCACAAAGGCTGTTTAAGTAAACGAAGTGATCTATCTAGCCCTAATGACGTGATTCAGGATGTGGCAGAAAGAATAAGTACAATAGACACCAATAGCACTGCAGAGCATCAAAACTACGTAATCTTGCCTGGCAGGCATGGCTCAATGGTTGAGTGTCAACCTATGAACCAGGAGGTCACGATTTGATTCTCGGTTGGGGCACATGCTGGGGTTGCAGGCTTGATCCCCAGTGTGGGGTATGCAGGAGGCAGCCGATTAATGATTCTCTCTCATCAATGATGTTTCTATCTCTTTCTCCCTCTCCCTTCCTCTCTGAAATAAACAAAAATATATTAAAAAAAATACAAAACTATGTAATCTTTTATATATATATATATATATTTTATTGATTTTTTACAGAGAGGAAGGGAGAGAGATAGAGAGCTAGAAACATCGATGAGAGAGAAACATCGATCAGCTGCCTCCTGCACATCCTCCACCGGGGATATGCCTGCAACCAAGGTACATGCCCTTGACTGGAATCGAACCTGGGACCTCTCAGTCCGCAGGCCGACGCTCCATCCACTAAGCCAAACCGGTTTTGGCTGTAATCTTTAATGAATCTAGGATCATGCCACTGATGGTGACAACTATCTATGTGTATAGTTATGGCTATCAATGGGGACAAAATAAGCAATAATTTCGACGCTGTGCTCTCATGATTATGTATTTTTATTCAGTAATAACTTTCAATAAACTCTACCATAATGCACACCAGGGTAAGGCATTGATAGAGCTAGAACTCCATTCATTCATTCAACAAATATTTATTGATAAATACACCAAGTTCCATTCCTAAGTGCTGGGGATACACTGATGAACAAGATAGACAAATTCACACACACAAAAAAAAAGACAAGTTCTCAGCTCTCATGGAACTTGTATTTTTTTTTTTTTTTTTTTTTTGGTATTGATTTCAGAGAGAAAGGGAGAGATAGAAACATCAATAATGAGAGAATCAATCAGCTGCCTCCCGCACGCCCCCTACTAGGGATCAAGCCACAACCCGGGCATGTGCCCTTGACTGGACCTAGGACCCTCAAGCCATAGGCCAATGCTCTATCCACTGAGCCAAACTTTAATCCAGGTCCCATCAGAATAAAATTTTACTCCCAAGTTATTTTTATCTAATATGATGCAATGTGACTATAGCCACAAAATTAAAAATACTGGCATGGCCCTGGCAGGTTTGGCTCAGTGGATGAAGCATCGGCCTGTGGACTGAAGGGTCCTGAGTTCAATTCTGGTCAAGGGCATATGCCCAGGTTGTGGACCTGATCCCCATTAGGGGGTGTGCAGGAGGCAGCCGATCAATGATTCTCATCATTGATGTTTCTCTCTCTCCCTCTACCTTCCTCTCATAAATCAATAAAAATATATTTTTAAAAAATACTGATATGGTGGAAAAGAGAGATTAGGCATTGAAACCATGCCCTTTGAAAACAAGGAGCCCCAAAATAGGTTCCAGCAAGGAGAAAAGACAATTACCTTAACACATTTCACATTTATTCCTGGACATACAAACTTCTTCCAGAGAAGAATGGCTTTGCTCTCCCCACAAGTTATGGGGTAAGCAATTTCCATATCTTCATTTGCTTCTATAGTGCTTGCATCTGAAAATGGAAAAAAATATCAGTGATTTATTAAACACTCTTTTCCAAAGCTTAATTCAAAATCTTTAGTCTCCTGGTTCCTCTCAGGGGTTAACAGTTTACATTAGCTGGTACTGTTTAGAAATCCTCTGGAAAAAGTTAGGCATAACAGCTGTCTTACTGAACTCCCACTATGCAACACTGTGCTATATGCTTTGATGTGCTTAATCTTATTTAGTTCTTGCAACAACCCTTGGAGATAGTGATTGTTTTCTGTTTTATATAACTGTAATGTGGGACTCCAAAAGGTAAAGTGACTTTCCCAAGGATACAGTTAAGAAATGAGAAAGTAGGCTCCAAACTTAGGTTTGCCTAATTTCAAAATTTCTTTCCACTGACTGTCTTCCACTGAACACCTTATCAGTCTTTATCAGCAATTTCCCTACTGACAAGAATCAACCTTGAGGCTCCAATTTATTTGTGGGATTTTTATAGATGAAAAATCTTTTTGCTTGACTTGTGTATCAGTGGTTGAGCCTCAACCTATGACTCAGGTCACGGTTTGGTTTCTGGTCGAGGCATATGCCTGGGTTGCAGGTTCGATCCCCCGTGGGGGATGTGCAGGAGGCAACCGATCAATGATTCTCTCTTATCATTGATGTTCTGTCTCTCTCCCTCTTCCTTCCTCTCTGAAATCAATAAAAAAAAATTAAAAAATATTTTTAGCAACTCTAGCAATATGATGTTAGACAATCTACTGAAGGCTCTAACACCTTAGTCAGTGGTGTCTCTAGATCAGCAAGTTCTCAACCTGTAGGTCGCGACCCCACCCAAGTGGTGTGCAGAGGCTTTTGCATATGAATGACCTGGCCCTTTGCAATCTAAAATTACCTAACAAACTGCAGCTGGGTCAGAGAGACCCAGAACATCCAAAAGAAGGCCCAAGGCCTAAGACCATCGGAAAACACATATATAATTACATATTGTTTTTGTGATTAATCACTATGCTTTAATTATGTTCAATTTGTAACAAAGAAAATACATCCTGCATATCAGATATTTAAATTACGATCTATAACAGTAGCAAAATTACAGTAGCAACAAAAATAATTTTATGGTTGGGGGTCACCACAACATGAGGAACTGTATTAAAGGGTCGCGGCATTAGGAAGGTTGAGAACCACTGCTCTAGATATACCAACATCAAATTGGTAGCTGCAACATTGATAGGGCACACTGAGTAGGGTGAAAAAGGCACCAAGTCAAGAAATCTCAGCTAGGGAAACTAAGGTCAAATGTACTAGAATAACAAAGACTCACCAATCCCTTCTTCAATTTTGTGTATCGTGTGAGTTTCTACTGCCACAACTGCTGTGTTGTTCTCGGACCCAGCTTCATAAATCCTGTTGTAAAAGTGTCCATCGATAAACAAACTATATAAATCATGAAAAAATTAATATTCACAGCATGGGGGTTAAGAAATTTCTTTTAACCTATCTCAAAGGACTAAAATAAATATACTTTACAACTGTATGTAGTGCTTTGACTAGTTCGCCATTGTTTTTAAACTCTAAGCTGCCCATGACTGCTTAGCAGCTACTACCATGAAAATGAATCAACAACTTTCTGCACTTCAGAGCAAAGTTCCTCTTGCTACTTATTTACACCAGACTTTTCCCTTCATAACTTTAAAACCTCATGATAGAGAAACCAAGACGACAGCATAGGTTAACACCTGAAATTGCTGCCTCGCACAACCACTTCAAAAATACAACTAAAAGACAAAACGGACATCATCCAGAACCACAGGAAGGCTGGCTGAGTGGAAATTCTACAACTAGAAGGAAAGAGAAAAGCACACTGAGACTCAGAGAAGGTGCGGAAGTAAAGTGCAGAGGTATGGAGGCGCACGTGGAAAAGGCTGGCAACTGAGGACGCGGTTGTCCTTTACAATCTGGAGGGAGTCTCAAGCTCCCGACTGCTCTGAACTCCAGTTCCGGGCGAGTGAGTCTCTGGGGACCCAGACTCATACGGGGAGAAACTGGACTGTCTGGCATCGGGCGGAACTCGAGGGCGGCTTTCTCTCAGAGGTGCTTGCAGCAATTACCGATTACCGTGGGACACTGAGACCCGGGGCCTCTGAGGGCAGGGCTGAGGATCAGCCATATCTGTTTCCTCCGCCCTGTTGATTCCCTGAGACCCCGCCCCACCCAAGCTGTGCACAGAGGCTTTTGCATATGAATGACCTAAAATTGGTCATTCATATGCAATCTAAAATTACCTAACAAACTGCAGCTGGGTCAGAAAGACCCAGAACATCCAAAAGAAGGCCCAAGGCCCCACAGCAGCTTGCATTGCTTCACAGCTGGGCCTCATCTGGGCACCTCCAAACCCCAAACAAAGAAGAGGAATCTGCAGATATCTCCATAGCTCCTGCTGGGTAGCCTCAGGCAGAGGCTAAATTAGCACCTCCTTAGATCCAAGAGCCTGTGTGCCCAGTGGTCAGAGTGGGACTATCCAGATTACAAATCCTCAGATCCATAAGGGACACACTCAGGGGGCAGACTCAGTGAACACCAAAGCCCCACTGAAGCAAGGCTTGCCCCAAAAGGGTGTCTCCAGTATAGAAGTTCTCCCACCGTAAACACAGCTGATACTCACAGCCAATTGGCCTGGAGGTCAATTCCTCCCAGTGATACCTACCACAATCAAGGCTCAACTACAACAAGACTGTGCACAAAGCCCACAAAGGGGTGCACCAAGAGTGTCCACCTCAGGTAATTGGGGAGGCTGAGCCACTGGGCCCTCTAGGACACCTAGCACACAAAGCCACTCTACCAACACAGGGAAGCATAAAAAATGCGGAGACAAAGAAACAGGTCCCAAATGACAGAAATGGAGGAAAGCAAACTACAGGATATAGAGTTCAAAACCACACTTCTAAGGTTTTTCAAGAATTTTCTAGAAACCGCCGATAAATTTAGTGAGACCCTCAAGAAATCTAGTGAGACCCTCGAGGATATGAAAAAGGACCAACTAGAAATTAAGCATACACTGACTGAAATAAGAATATTATACAGAGATCCAACAGCAGACTAGAGGATTGCAAGAATCAAGTCAAAGATATAAAATTCGAAGAAGCAAAAAAACACTCAACCAGAAAAACAAAAAGAAAAAAGAATCCAAAAATATGAAGATAGTATAAGGAGCCTCTGGGACAACTTCAAGCGTACCAACATCTGAATTATGGGGGTGCCAGAAGAAGAGAGAGAGCAAGATATTGAAAACCTATTTGAAGAAATAATGACAGAAAACTTCCCCTACCTGTTGAAAGAAATAGACTTACAAGTCCAGGATGCGCAGAGAACCCCAAACAAAAGGAATCCAAAGAGGACCACACCAAGACACATCATAATTAAAATGCCAAGAACAAAAGACAAAGAGAGAATCTTAAAAGCAGCAAGAGAAAAACAGTTAGTTACCTACAAGGGAGTACCCATACAACTGTCAGCTGATTTCTCAATAGAAACTATGCAAGCCAGAAGGGAGTGGCAAGAATATTCAAAGTAATGAATAGCAAGAACTACAACCAAGATTACTTTACCCAGCAAAGCTATCATTCAGAACTGAAGGTCAGATAAAGAGCTTCACAGATAAGAAAAAGCTATAGGAGTTCATCACCACCAAACCAGTATTATATGAAATGCTGAAAGGTATCCTTTAAGAAGAGGAAGAAGAAAAAGGTAAAGATACAAATTATGAACAAGTACATATCTATCAACAAGTAAATCTAAAAATCAAGTGAATAAATAATCTGATGAACAGAATAAACTGATGAATATAATAGAATCAGGGGCACAGAAAGGGAATGGACTGACAATTCTCGGGGGAAAGGGGCGTGGGGGGTGTGGGAAGAGACTGGACAAAAATCATACACCTATGGATGAGGACAGTGAGGGAGGGGTAAGGGCAAAGGGTGGTCTGGGAACCAAGTGGAGGGGAGCTATGGGGGGATAAAAGAGGAACAACTGTAATAATCTGAACAATAAAGATTTAATTAAAATAAAACAACAACAACAAAAAAAAAACCCTCATGATAGCCCAGCCAGTGTGGCTCAGTGGTTGAGTGTCAACCCATGAACCAAGAGGTCACTGGTTTGAGTCCCAGTAAGGGCACATGCTGGGTTGTGGGCTCAATCCCCAGTAGGGGGCGTACAGGAGGCAGCCGATCAATGTTCCTCTCTTATTGATGTTTCTATCTCTATATCCTTCTCCCTAAAATAATCAGTAAAAAAATAAATTTTAAAAAACACTCATGAGATAAAGTGTTGCTTCAAGTATAATAAGGTTAAGTCATAGTAAAGAATTATTCTAACAAAACTAAAAAGTAGCCGAAACCGGTTTGGCTCAGTGGATAGAGCGTCGGCCTGCGGACTGAAGGGTCCCGGGTTCGATTCCGGTCAAGGGCATGTACCTGGGTTGCGGGCACTTCCCCAGTGGGGGATGTGCAGGAGGCAGCTGATGGATGTTTCTCTCTCATTGATGTTTCTAACTCTCTGTCTCTCTCCCTTCCTCTCTGTAAAAAATCAATAATATATATTTTAAAAAAACCAAAAACTAAAAAGTAATACTGCTGGACAGTTCAAAATGCAAATGTTGAGCATAGACGTTGATGGCCCTTGTTGGAATCTTGGCACTGAAGTATTTTTAAGCACTTTAGCATGTTTTAAAGCACCATAACCAAACTATTGACATGAGCAGAGTATAGTGAAAATAAGTAAGAGACAGACTATGCCCAAAGTGACTAGCAATAACTAGAGGTACCACTTAGGGAAAGTGTCTTTCTAAAATGTTTCTAAGAAATAAGCTCAAAATTACCTAATAGGATTGAGCAATGTCCTTTAATTTCTATAATAAACCTAATGTGTTAATTATTGCATCCTGCTACTTAAGAGCACCTCCTGAATAATCTCCTTTGCATCAGGGATTACCCAGCCCATAGTTACACCTCTAGCACAGACCTCCCTTCTGAATTTCACACCAGAAGTTAACTGATAAATGAATATATACATTTGTATGTCCCATAGGATTTTGTTCAATTCGTTATGTCTAAAACAAGCAAGTTCTCTTCCCTCTCTCATTTCCCAAACTACTCTTCTTCCTATACTCCCTATCCTTGAGATGACACCACCTAAAATACCAGAGCCTAAGAGAAAAGCCTGGGAATTACATTAGATTCCTCCCTTTCCTCTCCCTCAACTTACACACGGTCAGTCACCAAATCCAGCCAGATGCATCTTTAACACTAGCCATCCTCCCTATCCCTGCTTCTACTGATACTGCATTCAGGCTGCATAACTGTTAGTCTGAACATCTCTCCTTGCAGCTACCTGACCTTCTATATTCCCACAAGCATAATCATGTAACTCTCTCCTTAAAACCCTTTAAGAACCCTTGCCAGTTTGGCTCAGTGGATAGAGCATTGACCTGAGGACCAAAGGGTCCCAGGTTCAATTCTGGTCAAGGGCACATGCCCGGGTTGCTGGCTTGATCCCCAGTAGGGGGTGTGCAGGAGGCAGCCAATCAATTATTCTCTCATCATTGATGTTTCTATCTCTCTTTCTCTGGGAAATCAATAAAAATATATATATCTATTTTAAAAGTTACATGTGGGCACATTTTAAAACCAATGTAGTGTTATTCTGTTTGGGGGTATTTTTTTAATATATATTTTTATTGATTTCAGAGAGGAAGGGAGAGGGGGAGAGAGATAGAAACATCAATGATGAGAGAGAATCATAGATAGGCTTCCTCCTGCACACCCCACACTGGGGATTAAGCCCACAACCCAGGGATGTGTCCTGACCGGGAATCAAACCATGACCTCCAATTTCATAGGTCGAGACTTAACCACTAAGCCATGCCTGGGGGGGGTTGGGGGGCAGGGGGTTGTTTTGTTTTATTTTATAGAGAGGAATAAGGAGAGGGGGTGGGAGAGGAAGACAGTTGGGGGGTGAGAGAAACATCAATGTGAGAGAGAAACATCAATTGGTTGTCTATTATATGCACCCCACCAGAGATTGAACCTGAAGCCTAGGTATGTGCCCTAACCAGGAATTGAACATACAAGCTTTTGGTGTACAGAATATATCAATAGCAAAAAATGCAGGTTGTGAGGCCTGCGGACTGAGAGGTCCCGGGTTCGATTCCGGTCAAGGGCATGTACCTGGGCTGCGGGCACATCCCCAGTGGGAGATGTGCAGGAGGCGGCTGATCGATGTTTCTCTCCCATCGATGTTTCTAACTCTCTCTATCTCTCTCCCTTCCTCTCTGTAAAAAATCAATAAAATATATTTAAAAAAAAAAAAAAAAAAAAAGAATATATCAATAGCAAAAAATGCAGGTTGTGAGGCCTGCGGACTGAGAGGTCCCG